TTCCAGATTCTCTGAATCTTTTGATGATGTTATGCACGGTTGATGATGATAACTTAAAAGTCTTTGCTATTTTACGCTGGTTAACACCATTCTGGTATTGCTGCACTATCTTTCTGCGCAGCAATGATGGAATTGGTGATCCTCTTACCATCTTGGCTTCTGAAAGACACTGACACTCTGAGAATCTCTTTTTATACCCAATCCTGTTGTCAACTGACCTAATTAGTGTTAATTGGTCTTCCAGCTGTTCGTTATATGCTCAATTTCCTTTTTCCAGCCACTTATTGCCACGTCCCAACTTTTTTGGGATTTGTTGACACTGTGAAATTTTGAATCAACATATTTATCCTTTAAAATGTTACATTTACTCAGATTAAACTTTTGATCTGTCATCTATGTTATATTACAAATACAATATTGACATTTGCCATCTCCACATCATTGCATTCAGTTTTTATTCACAATTTGTTTAGTGTCCCAACTTTTTTGGAATCCAGTTTGTATATATATGTGTGTGTGTGTTTATGTATGACAGCCCAGTGACAAAATTTGACATTAAACATTCATTCAACCTTTATTTAGACAGGTTCATCCCATTGAGCCTCGAGGACTCATTTACAAGAGAGACCTTATTTCCACAAAGAGTGATGACAAGATTGGACAACAACAACAGACAATCATAAAAGAGGCATACAGATTTTTTTTTTAACAAATTAAAATAAGATGGCAAAAAAGTTACAAAAACAGCTAGATTTTAAGGCGAATGTAGAAAACTAAAAACAGGAACATGACTTCATTGGTTCTTGCCAGGAGTCCAACAGATGCTTAAAGCCACTTAGAAAGGTCAAGGTCAAGAGCCACAGATCTTTTTGCAATATATTCCAGGAAACAGGAACACATAATCCAAGTTTAAGTGTCAACTATCTTGGTACATGTTCTCGTTTTATCTCGGTGCAATGATAATAAAGTTTATTCTGATTCTGATTCTTCTGACATCATTTTCAGTCCCCTTCTTGGCATCTGCCTTTGGTAGCAAATCTAACTGACAAAGACCATGCAGAATAATGTAGTATTTTAATTCCACAGCAGAGAAAGATTTGTAGTCTCTGTAAGTAGGTCTTCAAAAAAATATTGGTATCGGTTATCGGCCAAATAAATTTTAACAAATCAGCATAAAGAATATACCATACCATACCATACCAATTTATTTATATAGCACTTTAAACAGTGACAAAGCACACCAAAGTGCTGTACAGGGACAAACAGAACAAGCACACAGCAACAGATTACATAACAGGACATCAAAAACGTAGAAACCAATAAAAACAGTAATGGATAACAACAACAACTGCAACATGACCAACACAGTGTGATGCACACAGACTCAGCACAGATCACACAGTGCTGAAAGCCAGGGAATAAAAGTGTGTTTTTAAGCGAGATTTACAAACTGTGAGGGAGGGGGCCTGTCTAACGAGCAGAGGTAACTCATTCCAAAGTCTTGGGCCTGCTACAGAGAAGGCCCTGTCACCTCTGCGCTTGAGACGGGTTCCTGGGACTGTTAGGAGCAACTGGTCTGCTGATCTGAGAGAACGTGGTGGGACATACGGCTGGAGCAGATCAGTAAGATAGGAGGGGGCAGAGCTGTTTAGTGATTTATAGACATACAAGAGTATTTTGAATTTGATTCGAAGGTGAACCGGAAGCCAGTGTAGGGAGGCCAAAACAGGAGTAATGTGCTCTCTTTTGCTTGTGCTGGTCAAAAACCGGGCTGCTGCATTTTGGACCAGTTGGAGTCTAGCTATGGAGGTCTGACTGATACCAAAAAGGAGTGAGTTGCAATAGTCGAGCCTGGATGTAATGAATGCATGAATTACTGTCTCCAGGTTATTTTTGGACAATATGGGCTTCAGCTTAGACAGTCGCCTCAGCTGGAAAAAGCAGGATTTAACAATCATATTTACATGATTGTTGAGTTTCAGAGAAGGGTCAAGTATCACTCCTAGATTAGTGACTCTTTGTTTCACTAACGGTGACAGAACGGATAGGTCGATGCAGTGGTTGGTGATTGTGTCATTGGGAGGAAACAGCATAATTTCAGATTTCTTCTCGTTGAAACTCAAGAAATTTAAAGCCATCCAATCTCTGATGTCAGCCAGGCAGTCCAGTAATGGTTGAATAGAGCGAGTACAGTTGAGTCTGAGGGGGAAGTAGATTTGGCAGTCGTCGGCGTAGAAATGAAAAGGTATGTTATGTTTCCTGAAAATAGCACCTAGTGGCAGCAGGTATAAAGAAAATAAAAGAGGACCAAGGATGGAACCTTGCGGTACCCCCCATTTAAGCGCTGCCGAGGCTGAACTAAAATCTTTGATGGAGACACAAAAGGACCTGTCAGCGAGGTAAGATCTAAACCATTCGAGGGCTGACCCAGTGATGCCCACCCACTGCTCTAACCTCGCAATGAGGATCTCGTGGTCGATTGTATCAAAGGCAGATGTGAGGTCCAGTAAGAGAAGGAGCACAGAATCACCAGCGTCTGTGAATAGGAGAATGTCGTTAAAAACATTGAGAAGAGCAGTTTCAGTGCTGTGGAGAGGTTTAAAGCCAGACTGGAATAGCTCTAAGATGGCATTATCCTCTAGAAAGCATTTCAGCTGGGACTCCACTATTTTTTCCAGTAGTTTAGCGACAAAAGGGAGTCTGGAGACAGGCCGGAAGTTGGACATGACTGAGGGGTCAAGGCTAGGTTTTTTCAGGAGAGGTTGGACAGCAGCATGTTTAAAAGTTATTGGCACCACACCTGAGGCTAAGCTGCTGTTCACAATGCCAACAACAGGAGGGCCCAGAACAGGAAGAAGCTCCTTGAGGAGTTGAGGGGGGACAACGTCAAAAGGGGAGCCAGATGGCTTCATGCTGCACATGACCTGCTCCAGGGAAGACAGAGAGATGGGCTCGAAGTGGTCAAGAACAGCAACACAATGAGATGGGATGGACGGATCATGAGCAGGTGGAGAAATGAGTGCCCGGGTGTTTGCAACTTTTTCAGAAAAGAAATGGAGGAAGTTTTCACACAGCTCAGTTGAGGCTTCTAGAGGTGAAGGTTCACTGAGGTGTAGAACTGAGTTCAGGGTGGGAAAAAAGGGCTCGGGGGTTGTGGGAGTTTGAGGCAATTATCGCAGAAAAGAACTTCGATTTGGCGGCTTTAACTGCCTTCTGATAATGACGCCAACTCTCCTTTAGGATTTGAAAAGAAACCTGCAGCCTGTCTTTCCTCCACCTGCGTTCTGCTCTCCTACACTGCTGTCTAATGGCTTGAGTGACGTCATTAAGCCATTGTTCTGATAAAAGTTTTGTTTTCCTGGTTTTAACGGGAGCAACACGGTCCAGAATATTTAAGCAAACGGAGTTAAGCTGAGAGGTTAGCTCCTCGGTGGAGAGAGACACTGAGAGCTGATCAATCCTCTCAGAGCTAAAAGCTTCAGTAAAACGTGCAGCAGTGAAACGGTTATTGAAGTATGTGCAGAATCACATGACTTAGCAGTAGGACAAGGCGGGATGATATCAAACAAGACAGGCATGTGGTCTGAGAGAACGTTGTCACCGATTACCAAATTACAAACAGAGACATCACGTGTTAAAATGAGATCCAGAATGTGACCGTGTTGTTGGGTGGGAGCATTTACATGTTGAGTTAAATTAAATGAGTCCAACAAATCAAGAAAGTCCTTCACTAACGGCTTCTCCTGACAACAGACGTGAATGTTAAAGTCACCAACGATAATAAAGTGATCATATCTTGGTGTGATGTAAGCCAGAAAATCAGAGAATTCACTTATGAAGTCCTTGGAACGAGGGGGGCGATAAACAATCGCACACAGAACGGGCGGGGAATGTTCGAGTTCAAAAGCACTCAGCTCAAAACTGGAGCAGGGCATGAGGGTGGACAAGTGTTTACAGGAAAAGTTTGATTTAAATACAGTTAATATTCCACCACCCCGCCGGCCTGATGGCCGCGGGGCATTAAAACACAGACAGTCAGGAGGTAAAAGTTCCACCAAGGCGCTTGAATCACCCAAAGGCAACCAGGATTCAGTGAGAAAAAGAAAATCTAGTCCCTCGTCTTTAAAAAAGTAATTTAGGATAAAAGTCTTGTTGGCAACAGACCTTGTGTTGATGAGGCACGTCCTGATCTGGTCCGACACAGAACCAGCCATCGTGGGGGTGGTGCGCGCCAATGGTTGCAGATTTTTAAAAACAGCGCCTCCAGGACGGTCCAAGCGCCGGGCTGGTAGACAACACCCATATTTTCCCTGATCCGGGCACGTAGGAAGCTGGCTGTGGAAATGTTGACCACGCAGAGCTTTGAGTTTTACCAGCCGGCCGGCACGTTTACCCCGGCATCTGGATCGATATCTCCGAGAAGGCAGGCTTGGGGCCCAGCGTAAACAAGCAGGCACGTCTGCCAGAAGGGGTGGAAGAGGGGGGGGTCCCGAGTCACGATCAAAATGGTCCGAATCAGCGACAGCAGAAACAGACAATCGACGATCGAGGAGCTGTTGTCGGTCATACACAAGCAGCGAGTTGATATCCCAGACAAAAAGCGAAAAAAGCAGAAATAATCCAAACAGTATCGTCAGAGGTAGATTGCAGGCCATGTACACGGGCGCCATCTTACCGGAAGAGCCAAAATTCCAATATTGTGCATCCCTAGTTTTTATATGAAAAGTTGCATAGCTGGACACACAGTGTTTCTGCTCGACATTGACATAATTTTGTGTAAAACTACACAAGCCACTGTCCTGATGCATGCTCAGTAAACCAGGAACTTAAGTGCTGGTGAAGATTCTCAGTCATCCAGAACATGATACATTCAAAAAACGTTCAATACAAAAACAACTGGACTTTGTAACAGAAGACGTTTTGCTCCTCATCTGAGGAGCTTTCTCTGAGTCCAGAACTGAACCAGGATGCATAAACCTGCCAAGTCTGTGCCCAAGAAGGGTTCGAAGAAAGCCGTGACCAGGACGGCCGGTAAAGGAGGCAAGAAGAAGAGAAAGACCAGGAAGGAGAGCTACGCCATCTATGTGTACAAGGTGCTGAAGCAGGTCTGCCCTGACACCGGCATCTCCTCCAAGGCCTTGAGCATCACAGACTCGTTCGTGAACTACATCTTTGAGCGCATCGCCTCCGAGGCCTCCCGCCTGGCTCACTACAACAAACGCTCCACCATCACTTCCAGGGAGATCCAGACCGCCGTGCGCCTCCTGCTGCCCAGAGAGCTGGCCAAGCGTGTCTGAGGGCACTAAGGCCGTCACCAGTACACCAGCTCCAAGTAAAGCTGTCTGCAGAGTCCGGCACCAACACAAAGTCTAACAAGGTTGAGTCAGGTCCTCTGGATGGATTCTTCTTTGTTGAAATGTTACATCTAATATAAAAAAAAAAAACTTTTTCAGTCTGAGGAGCTGCAAGTAAACAGTCTTATAAACCACACCTTTGGATAGTAGATCGATCAGTTTGCTGCTGACATCCAAAATTAGTTGTTCACATACAAAACGAGGACCATCAGCCTATGGACCGATTGTTAGTGCCCTGATTGTTGCTTGCTATTCACAGAGGGCTGAGTTATTGCAAGTATCAAGTTGCAATAACTCTTGAAACTGTGCCTGCAGTCAATCTACTTCACATATGGGGGGCAACATTATAGGCAGAAACATGGGTGAACTTTGGGGTCTCCAGTTTCTCCTATTGTTTCCAACCTGTACATGGAGGAGGTAGAAAAGAGAGCCATGACGTCCTTTTCAGGGACACCACCAAGTCATTGGTTCAGGTACGTTGATGACACCTGGGTTAAAATTAAATCTCAGGAAGTCCAACATTTCACTGATCACATCAACTCTGTGGATAAATATGTACAGCTCACTCGTCAACCTGCCATCTTTTGCATGAGAAGACGTAATAGATGGCAGGTTGACTTTCTTGGATTGTGGAGTGTTGCAGGTAAGACATGAATTGTTTGTAAAAAAAATTCATAACTCCACTTCAAAACACTGCTGAAGATTCTCAGTCATCCAGGCCATGGTAAATTCAAAAAAGTTCAAGACAAAAACAACTGGATTTTATTTGCAACAGAAGACGTTTTGTATGAGAAGTGAAACGTCTTCTGTTACAAATAAAGTCCAGTTGTTTTTGGCTTGAACTTTTTTTAACCCACTTTTAAGAGCCGTGCAGTCTTACAATTGATTTTGTTGTCAGTTAAATGCATTTAAATGATTTAGGGGTGGGATGGTGCAGAGGTTAGAGAAAACAAGCCTGCGATCGGCTACTCGCCACGTCACTGAACAGACAACAAAAATGTGGGTGAGAAAGGTGAAACACCCACACCTACTTCCACCCTCGTTTGCCCCACTGTAGGTCCTTGAGCAAGGCTCTTATCCCGCTAGCTGCTCTCTGGGCATCCTTAGATGGTAGCCCTCTGCTCCACATGCGCGATGGGGAAAAATGCAGAGAATTTATTTCCCTCCTGGGGACCAATAGAGTACAGTAGCATATATATATATATTAGGGGCAGCTAAGCATTTCAACCAAAAAAGAAACCGTCCGGAGGAGCTGACTTAGCTTTGTTGGATTCTTGTAAGATACATTCATATAAGACTCAAGGCTCAGGTTTTAGCATATTGTGTCAGCATCCCATTATCCATCCATCTATTATCTTTACCCACTTTTTCCATTTTGGGTCATGGGGGTCAGCGGTGCCCATGTCCAGCAATCACTGTGCGAGGGGCGGGGTACACCCTGGACGGGTCGCAAGTCCATCACAAGGCCACATAGAGACAAACGAGACAAACAACCATTCACTCTCTCACTCACACCTAGGGACAATTTAGAGTTACCAAATCAGCCTAACATGCATGTTTTTGGTCTGTGAGCATCCCATTAACGTGAAGAAAATAAAACTCAAAAATAAAAATATTTTTAAAGATTGAACAAGCTTTTTTCCCTTTACAGTATCACCCCTTTCACAACTGAGGCTTTGTTAGTTTTGCTCACCACCAAAAGGCAAAAAGTGGACAATGACCTTTTCGCCTGTGTCAGTGAATACTTGTGTGCATTATTGAAACTGTTAGAAAGTAAACACTGGATGCACATCAACAAATGATACATTTTTGGAGTCAACTGATCCATGATGGCCACCACAGCTGTCTGACCTTAGAAAACTTGAATATGGCCATAGTTCAGTTACTTTTACAGTAGAGTCATTCACAAGAGCATGCTAACATAAAGGTGTTTTTAAGAATTGACTAAAAATGGCTAAAAAGGTGTCATTTATCAACATAAGGTGATTTTAGTCTAAAACTCAAGTATGAAAGGCTGCAATTTACCTTTTCAGTTACCCTTTATTTGAACAGGTAGTCTCATTGAGTCACGAGAACTCTTTTTCAAGAGAGACCTGTTTTTGGGAGCAGATGGTGGGGGTTAAGGGTCTTGCTCAGGGGCCCAGAGGGAGGAAAATGAGGGTGGAGGCAGGTGTGGATCCTTCAACTTTTCCACCCACATTTTGAGGTTGACAGTCCCGGGAGTTGAACCTGCAACTTTCTGATCACAGGCCCATCTTCTCTAGCCTCTGCGCCACCACTCCCCTAAAAAAACATCCTTTAATTATAAAATGCATACAAAATGTGACTAGTGATCACCACTTCACCCTTTCAGGGATTCAGCAACATTAGGAAAGCAGAACAAAGCTTTAGTAACTGGGGAGTATGAAGGCCACACAGAGTGGAAGTGACACAGTGATCACTCTCAACTAACTCACAGCACCACTCACCACTTAGCTCTCATTGACGTGGCTGCATGATGAAAATCATGACATTTTGTTCTTAGAGGCGCTTCCCCTGCCCCTCTACAAGGCCTGGGACAAACTTTTTCTTACAGGCGTATGTGCCAAGGTTTATGTGATTGGTCATAAGTTTGTGGGCATGTTTGTCAGTGAGGAAATACATTCAGCTGTACAACTCTTCAAATGCACTATACTAGACAAATGGCCAAAAACTTCTGGATGGCGAACGTGCAGACATTGTATATGGAGAAGTCTGTCTGCTGAAAAGTGTGGCGCTCTCTTCATGATAAATTTGTGGCCACATGACAGATGCAGGGACAGAGTGAAGACTCTGGTGGGAAGAAAGCTGTGTGGTGACGTATACTGCAGCATGAGGGGTTTCCCAAGAGCTCTGTGCTATGTGTCTTGTGGACTATGAAAGGTGTGGGCAAAAACGAATGTCCCACAACCACGTGACCACAAGTTCTCTGTCCGGCTTTGGATGGTGTATACAGGGCTAACACAATTTATATGTTCAATGCAAATTGTTTTCCACCCCTTTCTTTGTTGAGAGGTGGCCAACAGGGTGTGAAGAAGTGGAACACGCACAACTAAATTAGACCTGTAAATATTTTGGAGGTCATATGCAGAACTGCAAATAGGGGATGCAGAAAATGTGGGACTGTAAATAGCCACAGCCTGGTGTACTTAAGTTCACAACTCTTAAAATAAAATGAAATAAATGCAGGCTGTGTCAAAAAGGAAAGCATCACTAAGGTAGTAAATGACAACTCGCTTTTATTTTTCTGCACATTTCACGTTTTTTTCCTGCAGCAAGAGAAAAATCATCTTAGGTTTTTATTAAAAATCCTTTCTTCAATCTTCACCAGCATAAAAATCCTTCAGTAAATAAATGAATAAAAAGTGGACTGTATAACAATGCATGTGTCTTCGCCTGGTGGTCAAAAAGTTTTCATCACAGGTTGAGTCAAGGTCTTTGTTGAAATATATCCTGGTTTAGGTTGGCGCACCACAGTAACTACTGCACATCTAGTTTCTGCAGAGACTTGCTCAGCAACAGGCAAAGAATGTGACTTGGATGACTCTGACATTGAGACCACATTATTCTTCTGCAGTCACAATGAACCCTTTAATTAGAGCTGTCTGACCTCTGATCTTTTTGAAAGGGCCTAAGAAGATCCACTGCAGGTCACAAAACTTAAGTTAGGATGGACACAATATCATCATATCATACATTTTAATGGGCAGTATATACATACTGTATGGTACTGCAAATGTGGGAGCTCACTGAGGTTTTGCATTTATTTCAGGTTAAGATAATGTGCCTAGTGTGGTCATGGAATAATTCAGTAAAAACTTGCAACTTCTTATATATTCAGTTTTTCCCTTTTCAGGTGTCACCACAGTGAGTCATCCTCCTCTGTTTCACTCTGTCCTCTACATACTCTGTCCCCATTCCAACTACCTCCAAGTCTTCTCTAACTGCATCCATATATTTCCTCTTTGGCCTTCCTCTTTGTATTTTTCCTGGCAGCTGCATTTCTAATATCCTTCTACCAATATACCCACTGTCTCTTGTATCGACATGCCCAAACCATCTCAATCTGGCCTCACTAACTTTATCTCCCAATCGCTCAACCTGCGCTGTACCTCTGATAATTTCATTCCTAATTGGGGACTGAATGAAGCCACCTATTATTATCTACTTGAAAAGGGTCTTGCTCTTCTATCAACTTTAATGCAGCACAAACCGCAATTTGTACTCCCACAAATGATATATCAATACAACCAGCTTGGTACCTTGCTGTGTGCTATTACTGCTCTTGGCATTTCAAATAACCATGTCAATGTAATATGCAAACAAAGAAACAATTTTTCTTATTGGAAAACACTGACAAGAAATCCTAATGGCTTCTAACTGCCACAGTGAGGTCACATGACCTAGAGGGGCGAGATCTCTGACCAAAATTCAGTAAATCTTTGGACAAACTCTTCCTACCACCACAGATTTTACGATACACATACAGTACATATTATATATCAAAATGTAGGTGTTTTTGTCATCTAAAATTTAAAATGGTACATTTTTTTATTTTTACATTTTGTACACAGTGGTAATAATCAGATCTAGTCATGCTTTAATGGTGTGTCAGTAACATTGATAGGTTTATCAGTGGTATGCATTTAGCCAGTCTTTTCCCCCTTTTTACGTTATGATTGTGATTGGTACTCTGATACCAGCCCCACTAGTTTTACATGAACTGTTGAGATTGACAACTAGCTTTTGAAGGGACCTTGAGTACACAATTTCGTCCCACCTCATGTATCACATGTGATGCGAATGACAATAAAGTCACCTTGAACCATGGATCTTGACATACCACTGAACTCCTGGTAGTATGATCAGATGAATAGCAAACATGGCATAAGCTCATCAAAAACACACAAAACCAAAACCAAAAT